AAGGAACTTCTATTGTTACAGCTGCCTTGGGAAAGGCAAAAGGGTTGGCCCGAGAAACAGCTTGAAAAGTCATCGGGCTAGTTACTTCTGAGACACAGGGATCTTAAAGACTATTGGCTTCCCAAAAGTTGTTGGTGGTTGCTTGGTAGCCTCATGCGCTGGAGAAGACTGAAAGAAGGGAAAATAAGTATAAGTACAAGTTAAGGGAGAATTTAAAAGGTAATTTAGAACAGCTTAAGGAAAAAGATACTCAATGAAGTGCTATCATCCTCCACGTAGTGCAATATCTTCCCAATTGTTGGATTAAACTGGAAAGTATGAGTCACTAACATGGTTGGAAGAGGATGAGTAAAAGAGGTAGGAGCTGAGCTTTGTCTGAATGGAGGTACAGGTGCCCCCAGTACTTGCCTAGAAAAGAACAAAGAGGTTTGTTAGCTTCGAAATTTGGAAAATCATAAACTTAACCAAAAGTGAGAAAGAAGTATACCTCTGAGGGTTTGGCCCGAAAAGGGGGAAAACGTAATGATCGGGCTGGAGGAAAAGAAGGCTCGGGAGTAACGTAGTACTTAAGGAAGTAAGAGCTATACCTTCAACTCCTTGAGGATCGTGTCAAGGACCTCCTTGTCCTCCTTCTGGACTTTGGCGCCTGACTACCCCTTTTTAGGAGTAGGGGCATGTTTCTTAGTTTCTGGAGGCCCTGGTTTCAAGAAAAGAAAACAATGTTAGTTCATGCCCTAATAAAACTGAAAAACTAAAACTAAGAAAAACAAGGTTAAGGCTAAGTCACTTACTGACAACTTGTTCTTTCTTTCTACCTACTTCGATTGGAATGGTAGATGAGGATTTGGAGGCCTGAGAAGTCTGAGCTTTGGTTATTTTCTTGGTGTGAGTTACCATCGGGCCAGGTAGAGCAAGTTGAGGCTAAAGACACTCCTCGACCTCGGACTCTGAAGACTCTACCATGGTCCCTTGCCCATCGAGGTGCCTATATATCCACTTCAGGCCCACTTCAGGCCCAGTCTCAACTTGGCTGGACCCAGTCTCTTGCCTTACTACCTCAGCAGTAGCCTTTTGGAAAACTAGAGCATCTGCAGCATCTTCTTTAGGCCCGACATCCACTTTCTCAGTGTTGCCTTGGGTTGCAAGACCAAAATAAAAGTTAGTATTCAACACACTAAGGAAGCGTCACAAAGAGAAGGAAAACAAAAGTAATAGGGTATACCTATAAGAAGAAACTAGTTTTTCTGGTTGATCGCCTCCTTCCAATTCTCAAGTTCCACTTTCTTCATGTAAGATTTAAAGAAAACCTGCCCAAAGAGACAATCATGGGCTTTTATAAGGTCTCCCTCATACTTCTTCAACCACTTAGCCTCCTACCAAGTAGCAAAGGAATGAGTGCCTTCAAAATTAAGGGTCATGGGTTTGCAGGCAATCCTGCTCATCACCTTCAAATCGTGCCGAGCTATTGAAACGTCACATCAGCGAGAGAACGGAAGCGATAGAAGGTTCCACGAGGCATAGAGTATAAGAAAGGCACTAGGATGGCCTACCTAAACCCCAGCTGCTTACCATAAAAATTGGGGTAGTAAACTTCTAGCCAGCGTTCAAAGCCCGTGCGGTCGTTCTGAACTCCCCATGTCAGATCTCTCTGCTAGATGCAACTTATAAACTTCTCATTGTAGAGATTGCTGGCATTATCATCGAATGCATCTTGGAAGATTTGGTCCGAGAACCAGAGGTACCTCTTGAGCATAAAGGCACCCCACTCTAAGTCTGCCCGAGTTCGACAGACTCTAAAGAAGTATAGGCTGGCGAGAGTGGAATGGTTAGTAGGAGATGCCTCTGCCAAGATGTAGGCTAGAGCCACTCCCTTTAGGAACCCCAGGTTGGGCGCCTGAAACTCAGGGAAGTACCACTGGAGCCATAGCTGGACCATCTAGGTTGGCACATTAAGGTTGGTCTTTAAGGGCTCGCCTTTGGTCATCTCATAGAGGAGATGGTAGAGGTGTGCGAGGAGGAAAAGCATATGGCCACTGTCATCGAATTAGTGCAATGCCTCAACCAAGGGAATCCACTCCAATTTTACTCCCTTCGACTTGTTTGGGAACACATGATTGTTCAACCAATATATGAGGAAATACATATGCTCTTGTGCCCTATCTGCAGTGAAGAAAGCCGGGCTGAAGGTTTTCTTTGCAAATGGGATGAAGCCCGTGAAGGACATATCATGGCTCTTAAATGTGGAGGGGCTATACTCTAGACGAGTAATGGACTCAGAGGTACCCGAGCTTTCAGAAGTTGGGCAAGAAGGTGAAGATCAGTCGTGGGTGATGTCCACATACCTGCCCGAATGCCTTAGCCCAAAGACTTGAGCCATGTTGAGGGCAGTGAGAGACATGGGATCTATTCTAAAGTCTAATGTGTTGGTCCCATTATTCCATAAAATGGCAGTAGTGGTCAAATGCTCGGGCTTAGCTACAACCGTGACCTTGAAGAACATGATGAGTTCATAGATGCCATTGTCCATCCACTTCTTCTTCCATATGGGCTCAAGCTTGTCCACCCACTACAACCATGCCTCATTATTCATTAGTGGGAAACTTCTTCTGAATTAGACCATTTAGAGGTCGAGATGCCAGCCTCGATGGAATAAGGATTGGGGGTGAACTAATTGGCAGAAGGCATGTTATTCTCCACCGTAATTGGGACTCAGGCAGTCCAAGTTAGTTCCAGAGAATGAACACCTCCTTCCTTGAAGAATAATGACAAATTCAAGCCAGCCCGAGGGCGATGAAAGTCGTTAAGTCGGCGACGCATAGTGACAATCCACTCACCAGACTCACATGCAGGGGCGAGTTTTAGGTGCTATGGTTAGTTTTGGGATGAAAGTGAAGAAAATTGAAGGCAAGAGAATTTTTGAAATTCTGGAAGCTCAGAGAACAAGGATTGCTAGAGGTGTTGGCCGAGAAATTTAAATGAAAGTTATATAATGGGTAGTTAGTTAACGTTGGAGATTGTAGGTTAGTGCAAAGATTTATTCGAAAACTACTGTTTAAGTGGTGCAAGTCCCGAGTTCAAGCATGTAGTTAGTGTTTAATCATCATTAATGCTTCGGTTATCAAACTTAACAATGATTAAAGGGGGCACTGTTTAGGTTAATATTTAATGTAAGGCTTTGTGTTAGAAAGGCCCAAGGATGACAAAGTAAAAAGAATACTTGCCCGAAGCCCAGTCAACAAGCCTGAAACAAAATGAAGTTGTCCCAGCCGTAGCCTAGGCCATGTGCCTATGACTGAAGTAATGGCTGACAGAGACCAACTCACCACCAGCCAAAAAGCACTTTTTAATGGCATAAAGAAGTAAATAAGAGATGACTCACTGCCCCTGAAAGTCATCGGCCAAGAACAAAGCCAAGACAGTAAGGCCAAATTCTCTATAAAAGGGGAAGAGACACCACAGACAATGACACTCAACCAATCAATCAAAAGACATACAAACTTTACTCTCAAGCCAAATTCGTACCCAGAAAGCTGAAAGTTGTCCAGATTCAGTCCTTTTAGCTATAGTTTCCCTAGAAATTTTATCTTTTGTCCAATGTAAAAGCTCTACTATCATCATTTACTGTTGTAGTATTGATTCCCTTATGTTAAATTTATTTACTTTCCATCCCTTTTAGCATACAACCCTCTATGAACCCAAAGGGAAGTGGCTGCAAGAAGTTCAACCTTACCCGACAAGGTGAAATCTTGCCCGAGTCTCTTCGTTTGTACTTTCATTTAGTAGATTTGTCACTTAATATACTTTCTAGCATGTATTCAAGTTATTTTCAACTGTTTTCTACCTAAGAAGTCCCATTTACATTCGAATTTGGTTAAGCTAATGAACCTATTCTCATTAAAGTAAACTTGGATCGAGGAAATGGTTAAAATAGCCCTGGACTCCCTTCATTTTGAACATATAAGGTTATGAACTAAAAGTCCTTGTTTACAAGGCAAGAAAAAGAACATATGCAAACTTAACCCATCTGTGACAATCCCTTGATGAACTAGAAGTTTGAGTAACTTGGAGCGTAAGTAATCAACTTAAATCACATCTATTCAACATGTGTTATACTGAGATAACAGTGACACGCCAAGATCCTTGTTAGTTTTGATTGTGAGCCTCAATGCCTACACCTAAGGCCCCACAAAAGGCACCTTTCAAGCTAACTACAAACTCTCATTGCAACACACCAAGCAGCAAGAGGAAGCCCGACAACCAACGAAGTGCCACCTCCCCAGGGAGTTGGGTGAGGGAAATCCTTGCCCGAACACTAGTATTCCTCTTTAAATCTTTTTCTTCTAATAGCTACTTGTTTTTCAGTACAATGTCTCTTAGAATCGTTATGGTCATCTCAATAAAAAGCACAAGCAATTTCTCTTTCTCTTTGAATCAAAGCTTGAACTCCTAGTGTCAAACTTTAATTCACTATTTACATATTGTGAATTATTTCTCTAACATAAGTATAGTACTTATCATTAAGCCGAAGAAAGAACCTAAGTTGAGACTCCACTCAATGACACAATTTTTTTGGGTTTGCAATCAATTAAGCACAATCTCTATAGCTCAAATCCCGTCTAGTAGTGTCATGCTCCCAATCTCTAATTTTTTTGTTCAATTAAATTCTTGGCCTACCCGCAAGGCCCATAGGGAACTTAGGGGTCGAACAGTTGCTTTAGCCCATCCACTTGGAAACAAAACATATGATCAACTAGGGGTCGAATAGTTGCTTTAGCCCATCCACTTGGAAACAAAACATATGATCAAATACATTTGATCAATATGATCAACAAAGGGCATTGCACATGATCAGTTTGAATAGAAATATGGAAGGATAAAAAATTGCTATAAATCTATAGAACATGTGATCAAATACACGTGATCAACCCCCTTATTTATGCATGCATGTACGCATATGCCTACAACTAGTACTCTAGTACTTTAAATATAAGAGCTTCATTGATCTCCAATTGATCCACACTACCACCACTACTACTTCAAATGGATCAAATTAGTAATTAATCTGCCTCGCTGTTGAACAAACATTATTCAATGGGGATTACAGGGATGATATATATGGTTACAATGGTATTTTCATTAATTGTATTAATATTGTCTTCGTCCGCGGTGAAATTCGATTATTTTCAATTTACGCAGCAATATCAGCCGGCTGTCTGCAGCTCTAATCCTACTCCTTGTAAGGATCCTCCTGACAAGTTGTTTACGGTTCATGGTTTGTGGCCTTCAAATGTTAATGGAAGTGACCCCAAGAAATGCAAAACTACAATCTTGAACCCTCAAACGGTAATATTATTCAGGCAAAATTAATATCCAGTACTTAGTTATAATGTTCATTAATTAAGACCTTATTAGTTTTCAGATTTTGATCGATGTCCCTAGCAAATTCAAATGTCAATTACATAATATTTTTAAATAAAAATTAGTAATTGAAACTTACACCCTTATTAATGAATAAGTTTGTACCCATTAATTTTCAATTCAAAACTTACATCCTTATTAAACTCCTAACTAATTTTCAATTCAAAACATTTCCAAAAACTAAAAATTAGAATAAGTTTGTACCCATTAATTTTTTATAAAATGATTTTCAATTTTTTAATCTTAAATGTAGCCATTCATATAATCCTACATTTACCCATTCTTAAATATACCATTTTGTTATGTAAAATGTACCCTTTTTAAAATATAAATGTAACCCTTGTTTATATAAAATACATTCAATTTTTTTTTTCTAAACCATATATTTTAAATTATCCATTTTTAATATAAAACGTAACCATTTTTTATATTAAATCAATTCAAATTTTTTTTTCGAATCCATTTTTTAAACTTATATGGGTACATTCTATTTCGTTGATTTGAGAGTCTATCGATACCAAGTTTAATGGAAGAAATTTAATAATGTAAGCCTAATACCTCTTTTTTTTCTTTCAAAAATCTACCTATGTTTGATACAATAATTTTTTGTTAGTTTTAATGAACGTACCCATGTTTTCTTATATATATATATATATATATGCATGCATGTATGTATGTATATATATATATAACATATTGGAGGGCATAAAAAGGTCGTACCCAGTGCACAAGGCTCCCGCTTTACGCAGGGTCTGGGAGAAGTGAATGTCGGCTAGCCTTACCCCCATTTATGGAGAGGCTGCTCCCAAGTCTCGAACCCGAGACCTACCGCTCATGGGCGAAGGCACTTGCCATAATTTACTTTAAATTTTTTAATCCTATAAATGGATTTTATTTAAAATCTCATTGATATAAACAACCATAAATTTTAATTTTTCATTTAAAATTATAATAATCTACATAAAAATACATTATTATATTAATGTCAGAAACTTTGATCAAAAACTGAAAATGAGTAAGATTTCAATTAAAGAACATTGATTATTAGTACTGTGTCCAAAATCTCCCTATTATTCATAATTAGATGGTCAAATTGTTTATCTTTTCATATATACACATGCTCGACATAGATTTTCATGCACTCGTGAAAGATATTACTATTAATTTAAAATTTAATCATAATTTTTTTTTTCTATTATAATATTGTATTGTCAGATAACAAATCTTACAGCCCAGCTGGAAATTATTTGGCCAAACGTACTCAATCGAAAGGCTCATGCACGCTTCTGGCGTAAACAGTGGCGTAAACATGGCACCTGTGGGTACCCCACAATAGCGGACGACATGCATTACTTTAGCACAGTAATCGAAATGTACATAACCAAGAAACAAAATGTCTCTGAAATCCTCTCAAAGGCGAAAATTAAACCGGAGAAGAAATTCAGGACACGGGACGACATTGTGAATGCCATAAGCCAAAGTATCGACTATAAGAAACCAAAACTCAAGTGCAAGAACAATAATCAGATAACTGAATTGGTTGAGGTCGGTCTTTGCAGCGATAACAACTTAACGCAGTTCATAGATTGCCCCCGCCCATTTCCACAAGGATCACCATTTTTCTGCCCCACCAATAATATTCAGTATTAAGAGCGCAGCTAGAGTATTGCATATACGAATGGTGATTTCCATATATAGGACGAGAGGAATGCAGTTATGTGATTGTATTTCTAATGAATAAATTCTTAATTAATTAAAACTAGTGTGAATATGTGAAATTTCCTTTCAGATGAACTTACACGTTGGCCTATATACGGATATTATAATGTAGAATAAAAGTAGTAAACTTGACTGGTAATTTTTGTACCAATACAAAAAGAGTTTTATCATAATTGGTCTTTGAATTTGACATTTCAATTGACATGGTCCCTGAAATAGAATGTTCTTCAATTTGTCCCTAAAAATGGGCCAACCTATTCGATTAGTGCCACGTGGATTAATTTTGTTAAAAAGCCTTTTGAATAAAGTAAAATTTGAGCGTATGATCTTCCATAAAACTAGAAACTGACTGAATTGCCCCTGTTTGTTTTTTTTTTTTTGAAGAATAATAAAAATTAAAAAAATTAAAAAAAAATTAAAAAAAAAAGAAGAAGAAGAATTGCCCCTGTTTGTTTTAGCGAAACTATGAAAAGAAGAATGCCGACTCTAGCCTCCCTGAACCAGAGCCTGAGGGACATCTTCTCTTCTGTACCCGGTAATTTCTCTCTCACCAGCTTCTTCCTTATCTCAATCTCTATTTTCCTTATTTTCTGGGTTATGTTCATTTGGGGATGCTTCTTTTGAAGCTATTAAGTATGACAGGTATGTTTCTGTCCACTAGTTTTTTTTTTCCTAACTTTTTATCCAAAATGAACTTTGAGATTTGCATAACTCCTCATTTTGGTCACTGATATTTGAAATCAATAGAATTGGTCCTTGAGTTTGTCCACTATCAATTATTTTAGTCCTTCTATGAAAATTCTTCATTAAATAAGAATGAAATAACAAAAATACTCTCAATTTTTGTCAAATCATTTTGACTTATTGTTTATTAAATTAAAGGTAGTTTTTTCATTTTAATATTTATTTAACATAACTCTTCATGGAATAACCAAATTATTGATGGTAGATAATCTCAGTAAATTGATTTCAAATCTCAAGAACCATTGTGAGAAGTTATGCTAATCTCATAGACTATTTTGGCTAAAAAAACCTTTTTCTTTTTTTTTTCCTTGGCATGGTTTATAGATTATAGGATGACAGTCGAAAGTCAACGGCCAAATTAAATATAACAGAAACTATTTTAATAGGTTTTTTTATTGTTGTAATTCAGTCAAAAAAAATATAAATAAAAATAAAAAACATTTTATCCTCTGCCCCTTACAAGAAAATAAGAAATTAAAACCTGACTGTATTGCTATTGTTAAGTTCTAGTAGAAAGGGTGAAATTATGCTATTGTAATTTGTTGCCTTCATTTTTCTTATAATTCTAAATTTTGATACAATCATATTTAGACTCAATTGTATATTATCAAATCTTCGAGTTATGATTGGTAGCTATATATGTTGTGGTTGTGGAACTCCAAGTTTATTTAGTACTTTTTTTTTTTGGTGAAATTTATTTAGTACTTTTTAATTTGGTATCTTATTTGGCAATATTTTTAGTAATTGAAACTCAATCTACCAGGCCTTAGGGAGTTTGATTTACTTTGTCTCTAAAACTGGTGGTGTTTTGTTTTTTTGTGTATTTGTATGTGTGAAGAATTCCTATGGAACAAAGCTGTCGAAACGTCCCAGGAGCGTGAATGTGAAACTCCTGAAAATGAGGTAGTCGAAATCATGTCTAGGTTGCCGCCCAAATCTCTAATGCATAGTCAAATCTTGGTGCACACTCATCGATAGTCGAAGTTTGTTTTGTGGCCAAACGTCTCAACAATTCCATGGACAACAAACTCTCACCCTCCGCTTATACCCTTCTCAACTATTCTTAGGTTTACGTTTTCCCGTACAAAAGTTGGAAACGTGAAGTTTCATGGTCCATGATTAATATTTCCATTGAGAGAGATGACCACAAACTTCATTATTATGTTGCGGCCATAAATATACCGTTTCCATTGGATGATCATGATTTTGTACATATTGTCGTTTATTGCTATGGGACGGTCTGTGTAATAGCAGGAAAATGTTCTTTTATGCAATCCTGCAACGAGGGAATTCAGGCAACTTCCTGATTCATGCCTTCTTCTGCCTTCCCCACCGGAAGGAAAATTCAAATTGGAAATGACCATTTGAGCATTAGGATTTGGCTACGATTGCAAACCTAATTACTAGGTTGTACAAATTATAGAAAATTGTGAGTATTAAGATGATTAGCAAACATATTATCATCGTATTGCTCTTCCACACACGGCTGAGGTATCACTACTACATTTAACTATTAGAGCGACAAATACAAATTGGTCGCGCAACGCATATTTCTGTCACACAAACGTCTATGTGACGAAAAATTCGTCACTCAGAATCCGTCTCGCAAATATCGTGAAGAAAGACTTTGCACGACAAACAAAAACAGTGGTTGCAAAGAAGAAGGCACGACGGTTTTGCCTTCGTTGCACAAAATTTTTAGGAAGGAATGTATTCGTCGCACAAAATACCAAGATACATACATGGGACGACTAATCTTCATCTCTAAAAACTTTGCGCGGCGACAAGTTATTCTTGCACGACGAAAAAGGATTAGTCACAAAAAATTATGCAAGACGAAAGTATTCGTGGTGCAAAAAGAAATATATATATTTTATTAATTTATATTTTTGTTTTGGTTTTAATTTTTTAATAAAATAATAAAATTAAATTGCAATTAAAAAATGTAATGAAGAGAAAAATAATTTATTTAAAATAAATATAAATGTATGTACAAGGAAAATGTTTAAACAGTAAGGGAGTACAAAACTTTAAAAAGAATGTGGAATAATCTATAGGGTCTTCATTCGCAAGCGGCTGGAAATCTTGGGGCAGGAAGGTCTCAGGGTTGAGGACGGGTTCATAGGTCAAAGGGGCTAAGTTTCTGGGCATGCTCGGGTTTGAGGGGCTCGGAAGTCGACAGGGTACGCATATTCGGGATATGAATGTCGGACTCACTGAGGGTCTTTATGATAAGTGACATATGGCTCTTATACGAGGCGAGCTCAATCCTAAAGTTGGCCACCTTTGTTGTCAAAGCTATCACCTCACCCTTCGAATGCGAGGATGAAGAGGCTTTAGGTTCTTGTCCCTCGACATTCCCTATCCCCCTACAATACATCCCCGGCCTCCTCCCGAGAGTCTGATCCAAGGTGTCTGTAAGGATTTGAAACCCCACATCCTCGGGAGGAAGCTGGGAGGCAGACTCTTGAAGAACCAACTACCTCTTCTCCATCATCGTCACTTGTGTAATGTAACATGAAATATTAATAATAACATGGAAATAATAACCATGATACTTGAATGCGTAAGATAGTAATTACAACTAAAGAATACTTACATGAAAGGACTCAGCCAACTCATCCCCAGGTCGAACATAAACGTCTGCAAAGACATCGATTTCCAGGAATTTTGAATCCCCTCCTGAATAGAACAAGATAAGAAAAATGTTAGTATGAAAAAAATAATATTACTGACATATTAAAAATTAAATATGAAAAGCTTTATTATTACTTGCCGCTGCGCCTCCATCCTATATGAAAAGGGCTTCGAACCCACATGGTGGAAAAGAGTCTTCTTCTCCTGATTTATCTTGTTAGCTTTCGCATTTTATTCTGTTATACGCAAAATGAACGTATTAGTTGTAATTTAAATGAAATATAAAAAAATCAATAAACATTCGTAAGAAACGTATAATACTTTTAGACTTAATAAAAAAAAACGTACCACATAGCCGGCCTCCTAAAAATGACTGCAGAGCCAAACCCAAATTTCTTCCCAGTTCTCAAACTCCTTCGAGCAACCCTCCTCAAGAGTGACCTGCTGATGTGAGAATTTCTTGACACACAAATTAAACCCTCTTTTTGACAATTGTAGTATGGATGTAAGTAGGGTATCGTTCTAGGCCGGGGATTAGGAGGGATTGCTAATCTATTCTAAATTAATTTAAAAATATTAAATAAGACTCAAGGACACAAAACTAGGCTAAAAACTCTAATAACTCGAAACACACTTAGGATGACTCAAAATAATGAAAACAATCAAATTAGACACTAGGAACTGCAATGGACGGAAATTGAATTAAAAGACTAACAACAATGAAAACTAACTAAATAAAATAATTTAATAATGGGGGGTTTGGTTTTGACGAGAAGTAAATTAAACTTAAATAAATTACAGAATTGACAAAAACATGAAATTAAGGTGAAATGATAGGTGATGGATTAGCTAGAGGGTTCTTCTCTACACATGACACATATGCAACCTAAATTGATTTTCAGTTGTTCTTTCAATAAGTTGTGAATCTCAACACTTCAGATTAACCGTGAACAGCACTTTTTTAATCTTCAAGTTTTCCTTAAGTTATTGAATTGGACGGGAAAACGCATACAACAATTCAAAACATTCTTCAAAAGTCCCCTACGTGAAAAGCACAATAGAGATACAATCAAAGATCATTAAACTTTGTGAAAACTATAAGCATTGACGAGGCATTCGTAACTATGAAAAGCATGATACCCTTGCCAAGAATTCACTTAACACGATTGTGGATAACAACCTTCACTACTTGTGAATATAAGTTCATAACGATTAGGTGAAATTCACTTATATTCTAGCATCAAATTCATGCATGTAAATTAAGTATGCATCCTTAATCGACATACAAAAATAAGTTATCAATCAAGCAGTTAAGCAAATTAAATCACAACTCAGAAATCACAACTGAAGGTAATCAATTCATATTACAAATATATTCATGGCTTTGAATTAACCTCTAGCCAAAATAAATTTAGCTACACATTATTCTAAAATTAAACCAAAAATTAATCATAAGTTGGAAAGATTTAACCGAGAGAATAAGATCTGCTGCGTTTCTGTGCTTCTGCCCTCACTCCCTGCGTCACTTCTCTCCTGCCATGCCGCACTGTCCCTTTTATTTCTGCGCAGCCTCACGCTGCCCAAAGGGCAGCCCTCTGCTTTTCTGTCAGTCCCTCACCTTTTTTTCTTTCTTCTTTCTTATTT